TTCCGGGATAAAAAGTACCCTATTATTTAATCCAGACTTCTAACTTTACCTCTGCAAAATTTCAAAGCAATCGGTTTAGTAGTTACTGCGTGAAAGCGGAACAAACAAACAAACTCACTTTCCGATTTATAATATAAATAAGGATAAATAAAACTTATTTATGTGTAACGGTGCAGCAAATGTCTCGTCGTTGTGCAGCCAATACTGTATCGTGTGTCGCGTAATGTTGCTCATGAATATGAGCCCTGGCTTGACACTAGTCGTGTTAACTTTAATTTTCAAACAGTTACTTAAGTAAACCAATAAATTATATTATTAAGTTAGAATGTGCCACGAGAGTTGTAATACAGAAATAAAAAAGACGCGGAACGTAATTTAGTTGTATTCATTCAAAAAATCTTATCAATTGCCCACAAGTGCAGTACACGCTTATCGACCCACTTTAGTACGATAATGTCTAAAAAAACGTATGTTACCTACCTCAGCGAAGGTATCAAGATTAACCTCGTAAAACACAGTGGTGATGCCCAAAGGGATCCTGGCCCTTGTTATCATGAACAGTATAATCTGTCGAATACGTCTATCAGGGCATTTCTCCCAACCGCACGAGTATATTGCTTGACGAAATTTTTGACTCTGGAACGAAATATTTGGACATCATGTCATTAAGTCACTTAAGGAGATGCAATTATGACTTTTTGTGAAAGAGGGCAAGCAGAGTGGTTTCACTGTTGCCTGTAGGGAGACTAAATATGTAGTCTAAGCCACAATTATTTTCCGCATATTGTGTGATGTTAATTATCTCTCACCTTTTCCATTAAAAGATCGCTATAGTAACACGGCATAAAGAAATGTAATGTGGCGGCGGCAAACATTGCAACAAATATGATGCTTATCCGTGTCTGTCTCAAATCCTGAAAGAATTATTTATAGTTAACTGATAATAGGTACCTACTTCATTTTTTGATCTTGTATTCTACTCAGATATTCTAATATCAGCAAAACTACACTGTCTGTTGATAGATAGAAATCTCTTTAAAGGCCGCTTGCCATATGTATTGATACAGTCGCGATGCAGTAGTGCATTAGTAGCGCGTTGTCACCGCTACCTTGCAAATTTTGCTAGCTTTTGTAGCTCGTGGAGGGCTGGCCTTAAGGTATCTGTTGGTTCAAAATTACGTATTTTATAGATGGAACTATTAGGAACTACTTGGTATTCATTAACTTACTTCCACTATCTGAAATGTTGTCAGTGGTAATGTAAAAGTTGTTGCTTTCATATTATATTCATGCAGAATAGAAAAGTTTTTGTTCACGCTGTTCACTAACCTGTGAATAGAAATGTATCTAATAATCATTCTTATGACGAACATATTTTTCTACAAACGAAAAGTATTATTGTTATCATACTTGCAAAGATCCTGTTGTTTTGAAATTATCTTCTTTAATCCATCTTCTATTTCTTCAATATTTGCATCAACAAACAGTGTACTGATATGTCGACTGAGGAGATCCAGCTGGCCACATGTATGCAACATGAATATAGGCACCATTGGATCAAACCCAACAAACATCGACGAAGCCAACAAGCCAAAAGAATTATTGAATATAAATAACAACCAGAAACATATTGTAACATTCTTATAGTCCTCTATTGGTTGTGGGTAGATCAGGTCAAAAACATGAACATATACAAACTCCCCTTTCCAGTAATTATACCCTGTTAGTACTAAAGCTTTTATCGGAAAGATGGTGCTAGTACCGAAACCGAACACGAGCCAAAATTTGCATACAGTTACACCTCTCTTAGCATACTGGACCACTATCTCCTTGTCCTCATTACAAAATTCCTGAGCAGCTGCGTAGTCTCTCTCCATCGCAATTTTAAGTTCTTTTATAGATTCTTGATGATACAGGAGTATTATATATTTTAAAGTTATCGTTATGCATATAATGGCAACCGATGCATTTAAGCATGCTACAGCAAAATTTCCCGATCTGATATCGTGATAGAATACTGAATACGAAAGAAAGAAGAAATGGGAGAATATTATCATCATTATAATTGAGAATTGGAACTTCCAGGGTCGGTCGCGAGCAATAGACGGATGTGATCGGTTTAATCTCATAAACACGGTTCTAATCTTAAACAATTCTTCGAAATTTAAATATGTTGCATCCATTTTGCGACTGTGCCTTCAGAAGTACTTCACTTGATGATGCCGTTTTGTCAAATGAAAGCTTTTGAAATTGGATTCTGAAAATTGAAGTAATTTCTCTGTGAAAATATGTTATGTTATTGACAGTAATAACTAAGTTAGATCAACGAGTATAACAATGGTGGACTGCAATTTAGTTTTGTTTTGTGGTTTTGCTTTGTCGTTTTAAAGCTGTATCAATTTGTTCTGGTTTCACTTATACCATCATAATTATCGGCACTGTAGAAAACAGTATACGACAACTAAAAGAGTGTCAAAGAGGTTAAAAAAATCTCAAGTATGTAGGTATGTATCTAAAAACGGTAAGTCAAATCTGGCGTGCCACAGGGCGGCATATTGGGATCGCTGTTAATTTTGGTTTACATAAATTAATTTCCAAAACGAGTCACCTTTTCTATGGTTTCTTTTTGCTGATGACAACAAAATAATTGTTAAACACAAGGACGTTCAGACATAATTGTTTTATGAAAAGGCAACCAGAGATTTTTGGAAAACTAGCAGAAGTTACTAATAATTAAAAAAAAACGATTTTAGTTTTGATAATTGTTTCGTTTTTTTTTTGTCAGAATATCACATAATATAATTTAGAAAAGAAATCCATCTTGTAGTGCCGTTCTACACGAGTTTTAGTGATGGAAACTGCCATTGAGAAACTAATTCAATAATAACCACCAATACCATTTACTTGATCAATGGAAACCCGAAAATATATTATAAATTTATGTTATACATATTTTATTATATATTTTATGGCTTAAGCCGGCAAATGAGCAGAGGGATCACCTGATGGTAAGCAATCGGCGTCGCCCATGGACACCTGGAACATCAGAGGCGTTACAAGTGCGTTACCGGCCTTTTGGGGATTGGGAGTTTGAGGATCGTTGGGATTCAATAATTGGGGAGATTGGGGAAGGGGAGGATAATTGAGCCTCGGTAACCTACACGACAAAACACAACGCAAGCGTTGCTTCACGTCGGTTTTCTGTGAGGCCGTGGTATCACTCCGGTCGAGCCGGCCCCTTTGTGCCGAAGCATGGCTCTCCCACACTTTATATACAATAATTATGTATTATGTTCATTTAGATATGAATGTGTAACAATTTAAAATAGATAGCGCTTGACAAAATGATACCAGCAACACTTACCAATTTGATCTTCGTCCGGTTACGGTTGATAGACTTGGTTCTTTAGTTATTGATTCCTTGTCCTGTAAATTCTTAATAACATAAACTAGGCTTCATTTCTAGCGAAAGAAAATAGTTAATTATGACAATAGTTTGCAGTGGCCTTAACGCTATTAACAATTTAATCAAATAATGCAATAATGTTTATAAAAATAAACATTTTTACTGTGTATATTTGTTTATTTTGAAAATAACCAAGAATAAATAAGTAAATTGTATAGCTATATTTTATTTGGGCAAATCATTAACAATGCAAAACTACCTTCCTTGTTTGAATTTAGTGCCACAGTAGAATAAGTTGAATTAAACCTTGTTAAATATCTATAATCATGGTAAAAATCATCACATCTATACATATAATAAAACTGTTAAAGTGTAAATTCTGTTCATTGAAAATATAAAAAAATATAGTGGATGTAACTATATAGATACCGAACCCGAAAATGTGATAAAAACATTCTGTATGTCTGTCTGTATGTTCACACATCACGCAAAACTGCTGTTCTGATAGGACTTTAATATCCTGGGCACAACACTGGGTACTTTTTATTCCGAAAAAGTATATACAGAAAAAAACAAACTTAATTATGCGGCTCAAGTCATAAACAAAGTTAAAAAACGTACGCCTCAAAGAGCCATCAGACTACCACGGATGGGGCCCAATATGGCTGATTCCGATACGGAGCCGCGGAGAACGTAACGGGTTATCAGGGCTCCGGCTCGAAGTGTAGAAGTAGGAACGGGGTAAGAGTCTGACACTCCCTCGAAAGACTTCTCCCGCCTAACCCAGGCGGGAAAAGTTATTCGATGGTTTCCCCCCTTAAAAAAAAACACTCATTGCAACAATCAATTTATTGGCTTAATTACAATAATTTACATTTTTAAGTAAGACTAAAATTATGCAGTTTATACAAAGAGCAACTACTAATACTAACTGTATTATAAAAAGAAGAAGAACTGCCTCGTTGGCCGAGTGGTCGCAAGTGCGACTGCCGGGCAAAGAGTCTCTTTTTCTACTATTTTTGCTGTTTTTTTCTGCTGTTTTTTCTGCATATTATGGTTATACTGACGCCATACTGCGCTATGGTATTTGTTGGATACAATTTCCTGGGATAAATATACTTATAGGTACAATTTTAGCTTTTGTTTGTTTAGATTTGGTTTTTGAAGTTTTTTATGTCTCTTATTTCATTAAACAGTTCCTAATGAGCAGCTTTTTAAACTGAAGTAATAATAATAACTGTAAGACCTGTTCTATCACCAAAAGCATACTAATAAATACATTGACTTCGAAACAAAAATGTAGATTAATTAAGTAGTTTTCTAAGCCCCACTTTTACTTTTTTAAAGAAACAAAATCAAAACTTAAATGAGATCACATTAGTCTTCTCCTTACGAAGTATATTTGTTGGTAAGTAAATATAAATCCATGTTTGAACAATTATTACGAAAACTTTGTGAAGTATATGCTCCTTGTTCTTTTTCAATGACCTTCCATAATTAAAGTATGATGTTGTTTAAATTAATATGCTAAGTAATCAAACAAAATGTTATGGTAAGTTTGAATGCTGATGATAAACATTTTATTATTTAATTGTTATCCCCAAGCTGCATTCATCAAGTTCAGGATCCCATAGGATTGACGGCACATCTGAAAGAGTGCAATTCCAAGTTAAGATAGTCATCCACAAATAAAATAATAACTCTTGTAGCCAAATGCTGTTCATGAATGTGAGCCCTTAGTATAGCTTGAAACCGGTCGTGTAACTCACCAACCAGTTACGTCAGTAAGCCAATAAGTAGGTATTAGCGCAAGTTAAACATGATCAAATTAAGTGACTAATTTTAATGTATTAATTTATAATAATACATCTAAACAATTGCCACAGTAATTAAACACTTATGTACTCATATGGTATGTTACCTACCTCAGCGAAGGTGTTAAGATTAATCTCGTAAAACACAGTGGTGATGCCCAAAGGGATCCTGGCCCTTGTTATCATGAACAGTATAATCTGTCGAATACGTCTATCGGGGCATTTCTCCCAACCGCATGAGTATATTGCTTGACGATTTTTTTCACTCTGAAACGAGATATGCTGAGATTATGATTATACCTTTTATTTACTGAAGTAGTTGTCAAAGGAGTGTTGTATTAGATATATCATCAATTTTTTGTGAGAGTGAGCTCATTCAAGAATTCATCGAAGTATACTCCGTACTAACTAATATTTCCGATTTATCATAACAAAAATATGTAATAGTATCAAAGTCAAAGTCAAAGCATTTATGAAACGTCAATAAATACAAAATAAATAATAGTCTGTCAGTCAGTCCATCAGTGAAACTAGGTGAAGCTAGGTGCTCATTCCAAAATGTAGATTCGAATGGAGAAGAACGAGCAAGAAACTCCATTCGTTACTCTTTTAAAAAAAGTATGTTCTACAATGTCTCTGATACATATTTCAATACTGTACGCATATGTGAATTGAGAACAATGCAAAGACACGCTTGACGCATTATACTAATAACTTACTAAAATAAAAAAATAAAAAAAAATCTTATAGTCTAACATGGTGCTCACATATGCATACTGACAATCCATAGAAATAGTGCTTCTATACAAGAAAAAGGAAACTCTTTGTTTCAATAAAGAAAGAAATGCTCTATGCCATAAGGAACAAATCGCACCCAAGACCCCTTGTGCGACAGTCTGACGTTCTATGATATAATTCATCTCTATTGTGAATTGTTAATTGCAATCTATAAAACAATATTAATAATTAGACAAAATAAAAATTTTATCGTATGACCCTCTGCAGTCCATTTGTGACACGTAGGTCATATGCAAATGACTGATGACCCCCCAGATGTCATTCGGTTCTATTTTCAAACATACATTAAGATTACTTAAATTAGAATCTATCAGATTAGGGGTCTAGCATCGCCTACATGCGTCTTAAAATAGGATAGCTCGGTGTCCTAAATATAGTACGTTTAGTATAATATAGTTATATAATATATAAAGTGATGTAAAAATATCAACAGTCGCTTATTTTGAGTATACTATTTACAGGTTTCACATAAAAAAAAAAACATTACCCTCCTTCTTTGGCAGTCGGGTAAAAATAAGGTTGTATGAAAGGGTTTCTCCCCCCGACTGACTGAACAGCAGATGTAGCCAAATGCCATATATCACTTGTCTACATGTAGAATAGAAAATCAAATTGTATGGAATTGACGAAAAATAAATTTTCAAAATTTGTCATCAGTGTCATCCCCATACCTACATGTAGTTTTCTACTCTTTTTGTAGACAAGCGCTAAAGTGGCGTTTGGCTAAACGCACAAGCTACGTCAACATTTTTCGGATATATATTTTGGTGAGCATAATATACCCCGAAATGCTTTTTGGGGAAACGGGCTCAAAAAGGAATAAAGTGCGTTTTACAAATGTTTTCTTTTATCTCCTACCGTTTCCATTAACAGATCGCTGTAGTAACAGGGCATGAAGAAATGTAATATGCAGCCAACAAAGAATGAAATAAACTCGACGTTTATCTGTTTATCTCGTAAATCCTGCAAGAATGAATTATAATTTATTGTAGGTATTATTATTTATCTTGTATTCTCGATTTCTTTATGTTTAAAACGCTGTTTATCTTCAGATACAAATCTCTTAATAAGAAATAACTTTGCTAGGTCAAAATTACGTATTTCATAAATGAAACTATTAAGAACTACTTGGTATTCATTTACTCACTTCGACTATCTGAAACGTTGTTAGTGGTAATAAAAACGTAGTCGCTTTCATGTTATATTCATATAAAATGGAAAAGTTTTTCTTCACGCGGTCTACTAACCTGTAAATTAAAATGTAACAATTATTCTTATGAAGAACATGATTTTTCTACAAACGAAAAGTATTATTGTTATCATACTTGCAAAGATCCTGTTGTTTTGAAATTATCTTCTTTAATCCATCTTCTATTTCTTCAATATTTGCATCAACAAACAGTGTACTGATATGTCGACTGAGCAGATCCAGCTGGCCACATGTATGCAACATGAATATAGGCACCATTGGATCAAACCCAACATACATTGACGAAGCGTACGCATCAAAAGAAAAAGTTAATATAAATAATAGCCAAAAACATATTGTAACGTTCTTATATTCCTCTATTGGTTCTGGGTAGGTCAGGTCAAAAAGAGGAACAAGAACAAACTCCCCTTTCCAGTAATAATACCCCATTAGTACAAAAGCTTTTATCGGAAAGATAGCGCTAGTACCGAAACCGAACACGAGCCAAAATTTGCATACAGTTACACCTCTCTTAGCATACTGGACCACTATCTCCTTGTCCTCATTACAAAATTCCTGAGCAGCTGCGTAGTCTCTCTCCACGATGCTTATTAGTTCTTTTATAGATTCTTGATGATACAGGAGTACGATATACTTTAAAGTAATCGTCAGAGACACGATGACCATCGTTGCATTTTTACTTGCTTCGGCAAATTTTCCCGATTTGATGTCGTGGCAGAATATTGAATACGAAAGGAAGATAAAACAGAAGAATGTTATCATCATTATAATTGAGAATTGGAACTTCCAGCGTCGGTCGCGAGCAATAGACGGATGTGATCGATTTAATTTCATGGAGACGATTGCAATTTTGAACATTTTTTCAAAATTTAAATCAGTTGCGTCCATTTTGTAACTATGTTTCCAGAACTACCGTTTTTGTTTGAGTCGTTTTGTTAAATGAAGTTATAAAGGATTGTAAGAATCGAAGTGATTTCTTTGTAAAAAGGGTATGCCATTGACAGAGTAATAACACGTCAACGGTTATAACAATGGATGATAGAAATTTACTTTCGTTCTGCGGTTTTGCTTTGTCGTTTCGACGCTATATTTTTTTTGTTCCCGTCGGGACTATTTTGTTGTTGGTTATTTTGGCTTAGGGCCAAAAGCATTTATACAAACTTTATAAAAACCTGAATAATTATTATAAAATATAAATAAAGGTTTTTAATTAATTTTTTCAGCGTGAGGTTCTTAATCAGATTTTTCTGTCTTGTTAAGCTCAACTTTAAAAAGTCATGTGTATTTCTCTAACTCAGACCAATCAATAATACTGTTTTACTAGTCTGAGATTTCTAGATACACCAAGTGGCTGTATTTGGAATGAACACACCTGTAAATAAAATAACAGAATGGGATTGACCTTATGCAGTAGCAGTTAGACTGTATGTAGCGACCTATCAAATCGTTTGAATTCACAACAGGGTCGCAAGGTTGTATTAAATCGTGTGGCTGACAGAAACATTGTACCCTTCGTAACATGTTAATGCACACACCCCTGCATTAGGTGCTCAATTGGATTAGGGCTGTCATCAATCAACCTTGGAGAATGGTACTGATACTCCTTATTTTCTCATCAAATTGTGGAAAATTATCTACTTATTGTGCTTTGTTGTGCCATTTAAGATAATTGATAATTGTTTGAAGGCCACGCTGCAGGGGTACGTATATATTTCACAAATGGTCATCTATGTTATGGGTTCCATTATAATAGGAGATTATAAGTAATTTTGCCGGTAACGCACTTGTAACGCCTCTGGTGTTCCTGGTGTCCATGGGCGACGCTGATTGATTTACCATCAGGTGATCCGTCTGCTCATTTACCGGCTTATGCCATAAAAAAAAGTTAAGAGTAGAACCAAGGTGCGCATATCAAAATGACACCCATTTTTGGACATACGTTATGAACTTATGAGTCTTGTAGTTGCATGTAGTAAGTTGAGAGTCTTTTGGAAGGTCTTGCGCCAAGTTTTGATCTATTAGGGAAATTTGGCTGGGCCCTCAATAAAAAATATTAAATTAGCATTAAGTCTGCCTCCCATAAAGACATCTTTTATGCTTAATTTAAAATGATTAATATTAGAATACAATATTAAACGATGCTAAAACCATTAATGGTCGTTGAAGTCTGTTTTACAATGAGCTAGACACATAAACTTGTGAGATAACGCACGTCAGCTTATTTTTGATAGCTCTATAAAATTCTTATCTGAAATTGTAAACACGTAGATGTTGGATTATCATAGAAAATACAGCTTTTCATATTGATCGTCAATTTATTTCATTGGTTTGACAACTGTATAAAGCCTACTATATGCCCCTAAAAAGGAGATTTGTATGGTGCAATGTGTTGTATTCTATATTCCGTGGTGCAATGAGCTTTCATTGGAAGAAATCTATTTTCTCTGTTCTTCTTTACATTGTGTGGTTTGTAGTTGACAAGAGTGAAATGATCAACACCTACAAATGTTCAAATTAGGAGCCTCTAATAATTTGTGTGAGTGAATTCGATACCTTATAATGTTCCAGTACTAAACCAATGAAGTATTCAAAAGAAAAATTAATTAAAATAATGAAAAGCGCGAGTGAATCTTTTAACAAAAGTTAGTATATTAAACAAATATTTGGACCTTACTCAAAGCAGTAACGTTACAAATCCCCTGTATTTTTGTATCATTCAGTTGTTTGCTCGGTAACAAGTGTAGTTTTTATGTAACACAAAAAATGTGTCAACATTTCAAAGTCCATTTTCAGTAGTCCCCTAGATATTTTACTTTATATTTGTTCATTTGTATTCCGGCCGCGACCCAAAAGACCCGTTGCTGTCTTGAATTCCTTATTTTGAATCTCGAAAGAATCTCTAAGCCAATTTATGATAAAGCAACAAAATAGAGACTAGTATGTAATATGAAGCCCTTATGAAACAAATTACTATGCATATGTACACGCGATTATGTAATTACGGTAATGGAATCTCCAGAGTAGAGAGCATTTAGACCCCCGTATTTCTGTTTTAAGGTTAATGTAAAAACGCCTTACCAAAATTTCGCTAAGCGGATTTGACATTTGCATAACTGTTAATGTCCTTTAAAAGCGACGTGTTCGCGCAAAGTTGGGTAAAAATATTTTGCGTTTGCTTTCACAAAGTTTTTATTGCCGACGTTTCGCATGTTACCTATGTTTATAAATAATACTTCCTGCTCTGGAGTCACCTTATGTTATGAATATTTGAATTTATTTTACGTTCCGAACTCTTACATTTTCATTTTCTTACAGTGCTCTGCGCGATACAAAATTGTAACATTTATAGTTTATAACAAATGGGTGCCTATTAGTTTAGATCCCATGTCTACAGCTCAATGAACAAAAAGCATTTGTCATACAAAATCAATTAGATTTAATCCGAATCATGATTCGACTTAGACCTTGTTCCAATTTGGCCAAAGTGACGGTCGTCGACCAAGCAAAATGGGTCATCTCGTCAAACAGACAGCTTGATGGATCGCTTCTAGTTGGTCTGGGTGGAGAGAGGCACCAGCTGACTCATCCGAAGGGCATTACCATGCTTTCACTGTTACATTATTGAGAGGAGTTCGTGACCGCAAGGCCTCGAAAAAAGCATTACCGGCCGCCATAGTTCAATTTTATTTTCGCCCTTGGGAATTTCAAGAATTTGTGAAGGTCTCGTGTTCCGTGCATTTGTCTTTCGATCAAGAATTGTTGTGATGTGTCTACAGTATACAATTGATGATTCTAAATGATTTCCAGGATGGTTGTTTGACGCATGTTGAAGTACAAATTGTGTTTGATATTAAAGATATTAATTATTAAGAGAATTTTGTGTTGTGATTGTTTAGCATTATTTATTAATATTAAAATAAGGAGCAAAAGAACAACAAATATATTTAAACTACCACAACCTAACTACCAATTAGTTCAATTTCATAAAAGTGAATCTTTTATATTTTTAACAAACTACATACAGTTTTTATTGACTAATACATGAAAAATATGTAGAAACACGCGTTAAAATTTTCTGTTAATAATTCATTTTATAGTACCGGAAAAAATACCATTGATGAATTAAAATTATTCGTTTAAATCTGAATAACGTTACCGTATTTGAGTTTTTATCAACATATAAATGTTATTTGGCGTACAGCTGTGTTATCGTCAAGTTTGATTCGAAAAAAAAATGATTTGTGTATTTGCAATCGTTATTTGTGGAACTCTTTGATGGATATGCGGCGTGTACGTCACAACGGGAACTAATTGAAGCGGACGCCGGACGCCGGACGTTGGATGTCGGGAAAAAAACTGCAGCTCGATGTGAAAACAAAGGATGGAAATAGGTTTTTGTAGCAATCGTCTCGGCTGACGAGGGATGGGATGAATTAGCTGTTTTGTTCCATAGGCTTCTAACTAAACGTGTTAAATGCACGTTTAAATTGAAAAAGAAAAGTACAAAAGTTTACCATCGTATTTCGTATTCGTAGTCAGTCGACTTGATAAATGCTTCGCTGCCATTCGAACCATTTTGGGTCGTTGCTCTGAGAGTCCAAGCGGAAAGGTAACAGGTGGCCCCGTCTATTAATTTATCAAATGCATTTTGTGATACTTTGCAAATGTCTAAATCTAGGTTCAGACGAAATGAAGTGATATGTTTATCTTATAACAAAGAATGAGAAAAAGGGCCGCAGAATTAGATGTGTTCCACGATAAATCGTATGTCATACGGAAATTAATGTATAAGTTTTTAAATATAAATCTCAATAATATAGGAATAGGAACTATCTAAGTGATTAATATTGTAATAGGTTTAAGTTTCTTTTTTGTATCCTAGAATGTAAGTATTTTGGCTCTTGCTGTAAACTTTCATTTTAATGTAAATAAATAAATAAATAAATAAATAAATAAATAAATAATTATGTTTTCAGAATATTTCTCACTCGGCCACACATAAAATTATGGTATTATTAATGGTTGCCAGTTAAATTAACTAAAAATGACTACTTACTGGCTAGTGTCTGCACTGGTGCTTGCCAGTAGGCTGCGCGACATCGCCGCGACCGCGCACGCTGCTCAAGAGAAAGAGTCCCACTATGACTCGAAACTAGTAGAACTTTTCTGAGTATACTTACATGAGTAACTCGTCATTTTCAGTTAATTCCATATGTCTTAAGATAGTTATTATAGTTGCCAATTAGTAAAAAATACTTTAATCTATCGTACCTATTCTAATTGAATTTTTGAAATGAGCAAATAGCTTCACATTTTTTAAATAACTTAATTTTTTAGTTGACGGTCAAAAGTGCCTTCCTCCTGGTCTAATTGAAATTAATGATTTTGACTTTGACTTTGGTTTCAGCAAATACGCTCCTTCATTATAAAAACAATGACATTTAACACTCAACCAACACTCAAATAAGTAGATAATAATTAAACTCTAATGAATAGCCCCATTCAACGCACAGTGGGCTACCTGCGTTCATTACGTGGTTAGCGAAACAATGCTATCACATCTCAATTAACATAGCAAGAGGAACGTGGGGCACATTCTGAATACCCTGATGACACAACACGTTATTATAATTAGGCACACGGCTCGCATCCGACTCGTATCCGACGAGATATTCGAAAATGTTCGTATGTAGCTCTTTTAGGGTGTTAAAGTCGTCCAATGACTTCTCGCCCCCGGGTGAGGCGAGAGGGATTGCTAGACTCTTACTGACTGCACTGCCGTGCCCTCAGGGAAGTGATCGGTGATGGCGACCTCTCGCGTCCGGGCCTAGTGCAGGCCATGATGCGGAGCGAGGGGGACTGGGATGCCGTCTCCTCCTTTTGCGAAG